AAAAAAAAAAAAAAAAAACAGCCAGAAATGTAGACTAATTGTGTACTCTGCCATTTTAAAATTTTGGCACCTTGTTCAAAACCTTTAAAAGTTTCAAAACAGAGCCAAGCCTATTTATAAACTAGATTCAGCCATTGGACCACCCATTTGTGTGATCACACCAGGTTGTGTGATTTTTCTCAGGTCAATGAAGCTCTTTTGGACTCTATCATAATCCTAAAGAAATAGAGCACATGGCTGACTCAGCTTGAGGATGGATGTCTTACCTGGGTCAACTGCTGTATTCAGAGGGACAAGAGCCATCTGAAACAGCAAAGATCTATAGACAACAAATTTCTCCCTGACAACAAATTACTTCTATCCCTCGATACTCAGGAACTGTTATATAATTCATATTAATCATAAGGGATTTTCAAAGTTCTACCCTTGGGGATGAGGCTAAACATCAGTGGAAGATCACTTGCTTAACTATGTGAGGCTCTGTGTTTAAACTCCAGCATAATCAATAAATAATAAATAAAGTACCTAGAAAGATACAGTACTAGAGCTGATTTGCACTATTTTCCAAATATAATTCCTAATACAGTGCTGTATACAAAGATGCCTTTAAAAACTACTTGAAGATGGCAATGATTTTATATGGTGGCCAAAATTTCATAAAAATTTATAAATTCTAAACATTTCTCTAGATTTATCACTGGAGACTCTTATGGTTTGCATCTGGAGTGTCCCCAAAGGCTCAAGTATAAACCAATAGTGGCAAACCTATGGCAAGTGTGCCATAGTGGGTACCCAGAGCTGTCTCTGTGAGCACCGGAGCCAAGTCACACAGCTGCAGAGCACCGGATAACTAAAACCTCAGTATTCAGGTTGAATTGCAGTACTGGCACTTTGCAATAAATAAGAGGATTTTGGATTGCAGTTCGGGCCCTTGTCTCTAAAAGGTATCACTGTGTTAAAGGTGTGGTCCCACCTGATGACACCATTAGGATGTGGTAGAACCTTCAGGAAGTAGGGCCTAGTAGAAGAAATAAAGGCATCAGGGATGTCCCCTTGGAGGGAACACTGAGACCCAAGTCCTTTCTTCTTCCTCTTTGCTTCCTGGCCACAATGAAGTGAGCAGATTTTGCTCTACCATGCACTTATCACCATGGTGATCTGGCTCACCATAGGTCCAAAAGCTACAGGGCCAATCAACACCCAATAATGAATAGCTTTCTTATACACAAATAACAGACTCATTGAGAGAGAAATTAAGGAAACAATTCCTTTCACAATAGCATCCCCCAAAAATGAAGTATCTAGGAATCAACCTAACAAAAGAAGCAAAAGACCTCTACACTAAAAACTACAGCACTTTGAAAAAAGAGATCAAAGAGAATATAAGAAAATGGAAAGATATTCCCTGCTCCTGGGTAGGAAGAATCAACAGAGTGAAAATGGCCATACTATCAAAACTGCAATACAGATTCAATGCAATGCCAATTGAAATTCCAAAACTAAAATATTTCACAGAACTAGAAAAAAGAATCCAAAAATTCATTTGGAACCATAAGAGATCTAGAATAGCAAAAACCATCCTAGGCAACAGACATATGGCAGCGGGTATAACAATTCCCAATTTGAAACTATACTACAAAGCCACTGTGATAAAAACAGCATGGTACTGGCAAAGAAACAGACCTGAGGAACAGACTGGAAGACACAAAAACAACTCTAGATATACTCAGCTACCTCATCTTTGACAAAGGAGCTGACCATCCTCAGTGGAGGAAAGATAGCCTCTTTAATAAATGGTGTTGGAAAAAATGGATCTCAATCTGCCAAAGATTAAAACTAGACCCTTAAAAGGTTACTGACATTTAGAAATGGGAAGAAAGGAGTTAAAGGCATAGGGAAGGTGGGATGGGTAGGGGAAGGGTAATAAGGGAAAAGAAAAAATGTGAGATAATGAAAAGATGGAAATAAAGTGTTTGTAGATGGGGAGGGGAGGAAGGGGTGAAGGGAGGGCAGGGGTAAGGGGAAAAATGAGAATCAAGACTTGTCATGTAGAGGTACAAGATCCCAACAATGAATGTAACTGTACTGTATCCCTAAAATGTACCAATAAACTCAATTAAAGCTGAAAAAAAAAAGCTAGACCCTTATCTTTCACCATGCACTAAATTAAAATCCAAGGGGATTAAAGATCTAAATATTAAAAAGAAACTCTAAACTTGCTGTAAGATAAGTTAGGCAGAACTCTGGAAGACATTGGTATAGGAAAAGACTTTATGAACAAATCCTCAGTAGCACAGGAACTAGCACAAAGAATCAACAATGGGATCTCATCTTATTAAAAAGCTTCTGCCCTGCAAAAGAAACCGTCAACAGAACCAAGAGACAACCTACAATGTGGGAAAAAAATTTTACCAGCTGCTCCTCAGACAAAGTGCTATTATCTAGAATATATAAAGAATTCAAAACAATTAGCCCCCCCAAATATAAAGACCAGATTCAAAAATGGGCATCTGAGATGAACAGACATTTCTCAGACAAAGAAGTAAAAGCAGCAAATAAATATATGAAAAAATGTTTCACATCACTGGTCATTTGAGAGATACAGATAAAAACAACACTGAGATTCCATCTCACCCCACAAACGATGGCTGCTATCAAGAAATCACACAATAACAAATATTGGCAGGGTTGTGGGAGGAAGGAATCCTTCTCCATTGTTGGTGGGAGTGCAGACTGGTGCAACCACTGTGGAAATCAATATGGAGATACCTCAAAGAGAGGGGACTAGAAGCTCCATTTGATCCAGCCATCCCTCTGCTGGGTATCTTTCCAAAAGAATTCAAAGAATCATATCACAGTGGTATATGTGCACCTATGTTTATGGTGGCACAGTTTGTAATAGCTAAAACTTGGAAACAGCCCATTTGCCCATCAGTTGGAAAATGGATAAAGAAGATGTGGTTTTTCTATAAAATGTAATACTCCTCAGCCATAAAGAATGAGAAATTAGATTCATTCATAGGAAAATGGATACATATTGAGGATATACTCCTAAGTGAAATAAATAAGTCACACATGTGTAAATACCAAATAGTTTCTCTGGTGTGAATAAACTATAATAGTACATAAGATCCTAATGATATAATGGACAATGTGAAATAGGAAGAATAGGACTAAAGGTGTAAGGAAAGTGCGAAGGGTAGGGGAAAGGAAATAAAGGAAAAGAAAAATATATGAGAAAATTAAAAAATGGAAATAAAGTGTTTGTAAATGGGGAGGGGAGGAGGGGGTGAAGGGAGGGCAGGGACAAGGGGAAAAAATGAGAGCCAAGACCTGTCATGTAAAGGTACAAGATCCCAATAATGAATGTAACTGTACTGTATACCTAAAATGTACCAATAAACTCAATTAAAAAAAAGCAACAGGGTCAGGCAATCTGAATGCTCTGAAACCATAAGGAAAAATAAAGCTTTTCCCCTCTTAAATTGTGTCAGTGATGGAAAGCTGGTACAGAAATTTACATATAAGGTTTTAAAGTACCTTACATGAGTTAATAAGACTATTACAGTCACCTGGATTTCTTTGTTATGCATCTGTCCTTAAACTCATCCTAGCTACATCAAATAAGAAGAGTTTCATATTGAATGGGAAAATTAGCCTATGGCAAATACAAAGAAAACAATGTCATTTTTCTTTAATCTTGTCCTCAAATTGACTTAAATTTAGCATCTTAATCAGATACTGTTATAATACCTGGGATAAAATAAAAAGTGAATAGAACAAGAAGAGCTGTGGAGAGCTTTTCTTGAATTTCAGAAACTTTTTTCTCTGCCTTAGGAAAAGGGCCTCTTGAATCACAAGTCTGAATAGGCATTAATCCTGAAAAGGATGAAATTCATTAGCACTAATGCTTATTTATTCTTATAGGTCTACATGTAAACAAATATTTGATACAAAAACTGAAAAACAGTTATATCTCCAAAATATCTTCATTTTAAGAGTAATATGTAAATATCTCCAATAAAAAAGATTAAAGCCTGTGAAAATTTTTCAGTCCCATATTATTAAATACGAGGGAGTAAATGATAATAATGTTATTCTTCTCTGACTGACTTACCACATGCTCCAGTTGCAAATCTACAAATCCTATTTCCAAATAAATGAAGTGCCTTCAGGGAAGTAAGGTATTTCATCTCTTCTGGAACTTCTTCTAAAAGATTGTTTCCCATATTTAGTACTGTCAACTGCAAAAATATAGAGATTTAATGCAGAAAAGAAATAATTTAGCCCCATGGCTCAGAGATACATAAGCTAAGAAAATTTTAAGATAATCTTCAATTATTTTACTTATGACTAAATTTGTATTTATAAATAAAGTTCATTTTGGCTTCACGCTCACACTATTTCATCAATTAAATCAATTAAGGCACTCAACTTCATTAAAATCATATAACAAACCATTCCCAAGACATTTTAAAACACAGCTGACAACCCATTCACACTCACCAAGTAACCCAGCAATAATCTAACATGTGACCCAGAGAAGCAACCACTAAAACAGTAATGGACTGTTTTCCTGAATTTAGAAACACAAAGGCCTGAGGTCCTCTTGCATACTATTCCTAAGTGAGCTACCTCACTTAAGCCAGGAAGTCTGCTCTATTACATGGATATAGCAGAGGGACCTTCAGTTTTAATATTATTCTATGTGATCACAAAATTTACAAAGACTACAACTGAAATGGTATAAACAGAGAAGATCTGCTCTGTATGTGCCTGCCCTACCACTGACAAACTGTCAGACATAAGAAGAACATCACATAGCAGGAGTTTAAAAACTTTCTTGGTCTAATTCAATAAATCAATGATAGAAGCTGGGGAATGGGGAATTGGGAAAAAAATAAGAATCAAGATATGTGATGCAAAGGTACAAGATCCCAATGATGAGTGAATGTAACTATATTGTATACCTAAAATGTACTGATAAAGGAAAGAAAACGCAATGATAAATGTTGTTTTCTAAAACATGGCAATTTTCTTTTATGTGAAATCTATTTGTGCTCTCCAAGTATTTTTTTACCTGCAAATATCATTTATTCCTCATACTTCACACATAAGTTTAATATTAAGAGGAAAAACAGAACAGTGGGAATTTCAACAAATGTATTTATATAAAAGAGATTAAGGAAAAAATTAGGCAATTTATAATTATGTTTATATCCCACTCATTATTTGGATTATTTAAATAACTAAATTTAAATTAATATAAAGGAGGACGCAGAGTTTTACAATGAAATTTTACATTCTAGGAATTCATGGTAAAGGTTTTAACTCCATATGTTTTTCCCTGAAAATTATGATTATCTTGCTTTTTATAAAAAGTACAATACATCTAACAGCTAAGAGGTCTTATTTTATTGTGGAGATGAAGTTAAAATACATTTATAATGGCAATTGAATGAAAAGACTTAATCCAGATTCTGTGATAATATTAGTCTGGTATTGCTGCTGTAACAAATCATCACAAACCACATCTTTGCCTAGGGTTTCTTCCTCTCCTGTCCTGCTTTCTTCACTCCCTTATAGATTTCTCCTGGAAGAACAGCCTAAACAGATTACAAAAGACTATGTCTAAGGTTTCCAAGATATACAGTCCCACAAAAGTCAAGGGAAAAGAAAAGGAAAACAATTCATTTTGTTATAAAAAGATGTAGGTCAAATCCCAGGAGAAGTTTAAATAAAATGAAAATGTAAAAATAGCCACTGGAATCAACAACTTGAAAGTTATGAGTGACCTTGAAGTAGGGGAAATATCAGGGAAGAAAATGTGATCAGAGTGGACTGCGGAGAAAATGCAGACAATGAATGACTAATACACAATTCTTATAAGAACTTTTCAAATTTAAAAGTAACTAGAAAATGAAGCAGCTAGTTTGTTTTTCTCTAAAATAAAAAGTAGTACAGTGTATGTATGCACAGATGGGAAAAAAAATCCTGTAGAAGATAAAAATCTATTGATATAAGAATGATACTAGAAGGGCTGGGGATTTAGCTCAGCGACACCACACCTACCTTGCAAGCACTAGGTCCCAAGTTCTGTCCCCAGTACTACAGTGGGGGTGCTGGTGGGGAGAAAGATACTGGAGGAATCAAAATGCTTTAGAAGAGAGGATGGAACCCAATACACAAGTGGCTTCTGGCCTTAGACAGGAGTAAGGATTCATTACTGAGGTATTAAGAATGAAAGTAGACAATATGAGGGTAGATAAGGTAAGTAAATGGATTTGACAAAGGAAAAATGGAGTTCCTGACTATCTTAATTACTTTGCTCATTGCTGAGACAAAGTGCCCAACACCCAGAATTAAAGGAGGAAAGGTTTATTAGCTTACAGAAAGGTTTATTTAGCTTTCAGTCCATAATTGGCTGGCTCCAAGGGAAGCTGGAATGGCTGACAGGCATCAAACTAAGTAATAAAGCAAGCGACAAACTCCAAGTACCTAGCAGCAAGCCTCTTTCTGACCCTTATACTGTATCCCTTAGGGCAGATGGCACTCATACCCTTAATTCTAGCATTGCACCATGAATTAATCACACACTTTAGATTAAGCCACCACTGAAAAAGCCCCACCTATGACCACATGAGGCTTTAGGGGGACATCTAAGTACAAGCCATACCATTGACTGATGGTATCTGTTTTCTCAATAAAACATTAAACAAGGCTTGAAGGTAGAGCTTAGTAATAGAATGTTTGCATAACATGCCAAGGCCTTTGGTTCAAATGAGAGCATCAAAATAAATAACCACAATATGAAAATATGAAACAGAACTGTTTGCTGGGAGAAGGTAGGAGAGATCTAAAGACAAGAAGAAAAGGTACTTCTAAAGAGTAACCTATGTAACTTTGCTAGACAGCAAAGGACATTTTATCTGGCTGATATGTTAACTACATAATTTTATGGCTAAAAAAAAGTACAAAACTTCTAAGCTCCACAACCAACAATGTGAAATGTAAAAGATGAATAGAATTCCTCTGAAAAATTCAAAATGTAAAGAACTTCAAAGTCAAAACAAAGATTAAAAGAATGGAACTGGGATTCTTTTTCATATGGCTGGAAAACAAAAGGAAGATTCTTTGATGGCCTTTGACTTATGAAGTCCTCCTAACAGGTGGCAGTAATCATGTTCTGTCATCATGGCTAAAACTGTATGTCAGGGTTCAGTATACATTAAATTATACAAGAAACTCCAGAGATTCTGTGGCTAGGACTGAGTTACTGCTCAGTTACTGCTGCATCTCCAAACCCGGATATTATGTTAATTCAATTATAACTGTCATATTCTTATGTACCTGGCTTTCTTCTGAGTGCTAAATGTACTACAATAAGCAAGTCATATAAGGTCTCTCCCTCTCTCCCCCCACTTCTCTGTCTCAAAATTGCATCTATATTGTAGCTCACATTTTTCAATTCATAGCTGGCTGGCTCTAAGCAGGGTGACATGGCAGAGAGGCATCACACAGAAGAAATAGTTCATGGCAGGCAAAAGGTAACAAAGCAGTAAAGTAGCAAAAGAGCAGCAGCAAGCAACCAGCCTGCCTTCTTTCTGTCCCTTTATATCCATCCAGGCTACACGCCTTCAAGCAAGCAGCACTCACATCCAGGGTGGGTCTTCCCATTGTCCACACCCAGAACTATGCCAAAACCATCACTATACGAATTTAGTAATCACACACCCTTAATCCCAGCATCACACACTTAAATCCCTCATCATAGACCCTAGATTCAGCTACCTCTGAAGCTCCACCTATGACTACATACAGCATTGGAAGGACATTTAGACACAAACCATTACAGAGACCAACAACAAATTATTTATTTTAGTGTTAAGTACAACATAAAGAAAGGAGGTTAGGGAAGGAGGACAAAACATCTGAGATGAGAAATTTGGGATTCTTTAATAAGCTTGTTCCAAATGGTGTTTTACTAACAAAGGATTTCAGAAATAGCAGACCTCCAGAAAAAGCATGTGCAGCGTTTTATTAGTAATACTTCATGGTTATGGATAATTCCTAATGAAGGATTTTAGTCATATGACAGCTAAGTTGATAAGGTTTCAAGCTTGCGTTACTTGAATAATTATATATAGAGTGAAATTCTATTGATGTTCTCAGAGAATTAACTGCTTTGTCCTTAGGAGACAAGGACAAATCTATGTTGTCATAGATCAGAAGATGCTATTAACTGATTTCTCATAAACCAGTGATACAGGGATTAAAGCATCTTACAATTAGAAGAATGTTTTGTAAGTCATCTAGTTCAGTGAATAAAATGCAAGTTAAGCATTATATACCTTCCACATGAACACACCCACTAACAGGGAGCTCCTAGGGAACTCCTTTGTTATGTTGCCTGCCCTACCTATCTGTCCATCTCTCTAAATTTTTATGTTTAGCCTCCCTGTACCTTCTATCCGATTCTTCCCACAGCAACTATAAAAAGTAGTTTTAGTCCCACTCCCCTTTCCCAGAAAACAATTTTTTAAATTTTTGAAAGATTGCTATCAAATTGTCCCCAAATTTGTTCCATTATTCCCTTAACCATTTCCCTCAGGACACAATTTCCAGATCCCTGACCATCCTTGCCACTCTAATCTTTGTGAGTGCTGCTCTCTGAAAACATGGTGCCTAGGGTGAGACAGGAAATGAAAGTTCATAGCACAAATGCTGGTGGGACCACTGAGACTCCCTTGGGCAGATGCATATACTTTTAATACAGTCTGACATGGCATGCACTTTCTATAACAGAGTACATTGTTGGTGCATAATTAATTTTGTCTGTGGCCAAAAAAAATCCCTAAGTTAGCTGTCAAGCAGATATCCCACATCCTGGACTTGTGCAATTGAATTCTTTTCTTAATCTAAATGTAGGAATTTACATTTATCCCTGTAAAAATTGCATCTTGTTGGTTTTGGCTTCTAAGACATCTCCAGTGGATCACTCTAAATTCCAAGTCTAAAATCTGGACAGTGTTCTGAACAAATCAGATCATTTTCCCATCCCATTTTGGACAGCGCACTAACTATTCCCATAACCCTGTGGTGGCTAAACTCTGAAATCATCTAGAACCTCTTTCTCTTCCTCCATATAGATTCAATAAGTTACCAATTTCTAGTGACAAATTTCTTTCCAGTTCTATCACATTATAGTCATCCTAGTACTAGTTCTTATTACTGTCTGCCTACAGCACAACATACCCAAATACTCCCACGAATGGGATGTATTATCACTTAAATTATGTATATCAAATACTACTAAATTCCATCTTAACAGCTGCCCAAATAATCAATCCATAAGGGATTTCTCTACCCAATTCACCCAAAAATCTCTGTGATCTCCCTGCAGCTGTTTCTGATCTTCATACACTTGCTATAGTCCATCTAGCTCAACTTTTCCTAAATTTGTTCAATTGCAATAACCCATTCATACTTCTACTCTATAATCAGTTTATAGCCTGTCTTGGAACACATGTGTGTTATTTCCTCTTGTATAAAACAGATATGAAATTTGAGGGGGAAAAGTACTGATTCATTTATTAATAACAGTACTAATGGCTAACACTAAAATAGAATTCAGTATGTGCCAGACAATGAACCAAGCAGTCTTGAACACTGCCTACAGTGGATTTCATGATAACTCTGAATCAAAAGAAAAGTGAATGTGAGTTCCAGTCTATGATATATGCTGAAATAATTCAGCTTCACTCTATGTTGTATAACTCTAACTTCTAGGCTAAAGTGTCTAGAATAATATGCTGCCTATTTTTTTATAAAGAATTTACTGTTGTTCAGAATGGTCATACATATGCACATGATACAACATACACAAGTATATATATATATATACACAAATATACTATGTACACATATGCAAGCACACAAACATACAATGGAACTGTTTTGTATACAAACATGAAATTCTCATTTTAAGTATTCTAGTGCTCAATTCAGCAACACATACACTAAAACTGGAATGATACAGAAAAGATTAGCAGTAGTCCTGGTCAAGGATGACATGAAAATTTGTGAAGCATTCCATATTTTTAATTAAATAAATAAATACTATATTTCCATGCATACACTGTAGTTAGTATTGTACATTAGGCAAAACACAAGCTTTAGAAGCTATCTTCTATTCAATGTGTTAACTATGTGATCTTGGGCAAGTCACTCAATTCCTAAGGCTCCATTACTTTTTAAAATGATGATACTACTATCTGCTTCTTAAGGCTATTTAAAGCAATATACTAAGGTGCCCGGAAAATAGTAGATATTGTTAACTACTAATTAATATTTTAGATCCAGGAAAAGACTGTGGGACAAAATATTATATACGATGCTAGAAATGCAGTAGATATTATATATATATATATATATATATGTGTGTGTGTGTGTGTGTGTGTGAGTATACATATATTCATATATATATACACATATATATACACACACATATATATATATACATACATACACAGACACACACACACACACACACACACACACACACATATATTTCCACTGGTTTTAGATGTTAAACCTATTTGTTCTCCTAATAATTTCTACCTCATTCTTTCAAATATTCCTGTAGTCACAGCCTCTCTTCTATAAGGCATGGGGGGTTAAGTTTAATAGAATTTAAATAAACCAGGATTAAAGCATAAACATACATTCATTACACCATTCAATGTGGCACAATATCTGTAAGCGTGCAGTGAGATCAGCCGAGTCTCCCTGCAGGGTCAATCATGGGCACAGGAACTGTGAAGTAGCCTTGCTGGCAGTCCAGGGACAATGGTTTCACCCTCAGGACTCTAACCACAGCTGTGGGGCATAATTACTAACAAACTTGTTATTCTCTCCTCTTGTATGACTGCATTTAGAAAATAACCTTGTATTATAAATTCCAAAAGTAGAAATAACTGATTGAAACTAAGAAATACTTAAGAGGCACAGTTAGACTGGTCTAGTTTAAAGAAATATTCCTGCACCCTTTAACACCTAGAGAGCAATGGATTCCATTTGCTGACTTAAGCTTAAAGCACAGTTTGAAAGCTGGTTGTGACTATATCTGTTAGATACAGTATATTATAAAGAAATAATATTGGTTGCAACAGAACCTTTAAAAATACACTCTTGATGTGAAAACAACTCTCCAGAGCTGGGTACTCATCAGACTGCCACTACAGACTACATATGAGTCACCAATTCACAGTGCCCTTCTAACACCCACCTAGAGGCAAATTTCCAGCTTTCTAATAACGTGGGTGGCTCACAAAATGAAATCTCATTCTAATAGTTAACATCTTTCTTCACCCATGATTCTCAAACTCCTTCTCAAAGAGTATGGACAGGGGCCTGGGGCTGGGGTAAGACCATGTCAAACTTGCCCTCTTAACAAATTTCAAATATACAATATTAATGATAATCATATTATTGGAAATTAAATCTCTAGAACTTATATTGCATAACTGAACTTTGTACCTTTTGACTTACATCCTCAAAATCCCTTTTCCAAAAAAACCCAAGCAACCACCGTAATAGACTTTATTTTTATGAGTTTGGTATTTTTAGATCACACATAAAGTGTTATTACATAGTATATAGCTTTCTGTGTTTGGCTTATATCATTTCATATAATGTCCCCAAGGTTCATATATGTTGTCAAAAATGGCAAGATTTTCTTCATTCCTAAGGCTGAATAATATGGTACACACACATACACACACACACACACACACATACACACACCCTTTTCCTATCCATTCACCCATTACTGGCCATTTAGGTTGTTTCCATATTTTGACTACTGTGAATAAAGCTACAATGAACATGGGGGTGCAGATAGCTCATCAAATACCAACTCTGTTTCCTTTGGATATATGCTTAGAAGTGGCATTGCAGGATCATAAATATTTTTTAAAATCTTTTGATAAACCTCCATACTGTTTTTCAAAATGGCTGCACCAATTTACAACACCATCCACAAGGCACAGATTCCTTTTCTTTGCATCCTCACCAGTACTTGTTATCTTTCATCTTTCTGGAGAGAGTCATCCTAACAGATATAAAATGATACCTTATTTTGGTTTTGATTTGCATTTCCCTGATGATTAATGACGTTGAGTATATTTTCATACTTGTTATATATTTATATGTTTGCCTTTGAGAAATGTCTATTCAAGTCCCTGCTCCAAATTTAATTTTTTTGCTATTGAATTGCATGAGTTCTTATATATTTTGGATAGTAATTTTTATTGTGCATATGATTTGCAAATATTCTCTACTCTTCCACAGAATTTCTTTTCCTTCATTTCTTTTGCTTTGCAGAAGCTTTTTGGTTTGATGCAGTCCCATTTATCCATTTTGCTCATGCTCTTTGAATGGTGATGTCACATATAACAAAAAAATTATTGCTCATATCAGAGTATATCCTTTCCCCCATTGCATGTTCTTTGCCTCCTCATCAAAGATTGTTGACTACAGATGTATGGATTTATTTCAAGGTTCTTTGTTCATTGTTCTACAAGTGTTTTTTAGGTCAAACCATACTGATTTGATTATTGTGGCTTTGCAATGTATTTTAAGATCAGGAAATATGATGTTACAGCTTTGGCTACTCAGGATTTTTTGTGGTACCATATGTACTTTAGGATTTTTTTTTTCCATTTTCCTTTTCAAAAGTTTCATTAGGATTTTGGCATAGATTGCATTGAATCTACTGTTGTATGAACATTTTAATATTGATTCTTCTAATCACAAGGATGTGATACACTTGTTTATATGTCTTCTTTAATTTCCTTCATCAATGTTTTATAACTTTTAGTAAATATATCTTTCTCTTCTGTAAGTTCATTTCTAAATTTTTTATTCTTTTTGTTGTTATTGTGAGATTGTCCTCTTAAATTTCTCCTAGGATAGTGCATATGAATCGTTCCACATCACTTAGCTGGCAAATGAGAGAGCACTGCACTGAATACTACACTGCTAACTGGAGGAAGAAGTTAAAGGTCCCATAGAGACTAAGTAGTCTTAATGCAAGTCTGGACAACATAGCAGCAGATGCACAGAAAGAAAAAGTATAGGTTGAAGAGAAACTGCTAGATGTCCCTATGCCAGGCAGTTTATGATAAATCCAGAGAAAAAGGCACTGTCTACAGGATGAAGGAAGATTATGCAGCAGATAGGACCAAAAAAGGAAAGACTAAATGCTGATAGACAGATAAATACTACTGAATCATTTCTATTTTTTCAGGGTTGCAGGGGGACTCAGAATGTCCAAGGAGGGCAAGTTTGCCTATGGCAATCCTTCCACTTTTTCTCTCCATAGTTCTTATGCTTCATATGTTAGCTCAGTCATACTTCCTCAGGATTATTTCCTCTGACCTCTCTGATGAGAGACTTCATAGTACTTTTTCACAACTGCAATTTTACATTTACCTATATGTTGATTACCTTTCACCACTAAATGTGAAAATGGGGACACATACATATTTTTGTTCCTTTTTGTATTGCTACCACCTTAGCAGAGTGCCTATTGCGGGCACACAGTTGCTGCATCATATGAATGAATGAATGAAGTTATTTGGGCTAGAGATGATTAAGGATAGCAAAAGTGTGAAAAGGATAGATTAGAGGACAGTTACAAACTTACAAATATTCCAATTTTACTTAAAGTTGGACTTGTTTACTGTCAATTGTTTATAGGCAAATTGAAAGCTATGGCAGACCATGTCTTTTTCCCAGACAGCCACACATGTGAATGACTTGAGGGGAAAATTGCCACACTGCCAACTGAACTTTGCAATGCATGTCAACAATGCACACAATTAGAGATGATGGCTTTTTCTTTGAGGATTTTAAAACCATGGCTTATTTGCCTTTAAGGAAATTTTGTTCCTAGATGAATCCATAATTAACGATAGTACTGTGTTCAGTTAAGGTGCACTTTGAAAATTGCCTCCATTCCATTCTATTCAAGTTGAAATTACACAGCTTACTAAGTGCCAAGAATCAGGAACAAGACAAATTTTTTGGCCTCAAAATTTATAAAATACTTACTTTTTAAAAAATTGTTGACATCTCAGCATTTTTACAACCACAGGCCAAATGCATTTGTCACAAATGATAGAAATTTAATTTATTTTTTCTTGTCATTATAAGAAATTATAATTTTCAAAAACTCACTAGTCAAATTAGGAAAAAAGTTGTGTGGGGGGGTCTGCATTTTCTAATCATACATCATGATAGCAATACCAATTATAATAGCAACGAAAATGTAATCAAAAGTTTCTATGTGCTAATTATGGAGCTTCACATTTATTAATATTTAATTGAATTAACAAATATAAAGGTAAGGGTCACACTTTTTCACATCTGCATCTTCAGGACACAAGAAAATGAATGGTAAATATTTGTTAAAAAGTAAGAATACAAACAAATGAAAAACGGGGACAATTCTATTTAGTGTTCAAATTGGCCATCTTCAGGCAACCTAGTGTTTGTTTAAGGGAAATATACACACACTGGTAAATGTCATATTGAATATATATATATATTTTTTTTTTTTTTCTTTTTTGGTACAGGGATAGAACTCGGGCCCTTGTGTTTGTGAGGCTGGCAGCAAAACCACTGCGCCAAATCCCTGGCCCTGTCATACTGAATATATAGAAGAATAGAACTGAAAACAACCTCAGAAAAGATCTCAGGGCCAGGGATTTAACTGAGTGGTTCCTCTGCCTGCCTTGTAAGCACAAGGTCCCAAGTTTGATCCCCAATACCAAAAAAAAAAAAAAAAAAAAAAAAA